TTTTCTTCTTTCAACGCTCTTCTCGTTCGGCATTAGAATCCACCGACAACTGGACCTGGGCCTCCTTCAACAGGTTGTCCTTGTGGCAAGGCCGGACCGGGTCCTTGGCCAAATGGCATGCCTTCACCTCCGAACGGTTGGATGCCCTGCGGAGGAAGCGCCGGACCAGGACCTCCTTCAGGTGGAAAATTGTTCGGTTGAATCACGGGACCAGGTCCGCCGCCAGGTTGAAAACCTCCTCTTGGTTGAAAACTGTTCGGTGGAATCACGGGACCTGGTCCGCCGCCAGGTGGAAAATTGTTCGGTTGAATCACGGGACCAGGTCCGCCGCCAGGTTGGAAATTGTTCGGTGGAATCACAGGACCAGGACCGCCGCCAGGTTGAAAACCGCCTCCTGGTTGAAAATTGTTCGGTGGAATCACGGGACCAGGACCGCCACCAGGTTGAAAGCCTCCTCCTGGTTGAAAATTGTTCGGTGGAATCACGGGACCTGGTCCGCCGCCAGGTTCAAAATTATTCGGTGGAATCACAGGACCAGGACCGCCGCCAGGTTGAAAACCGCCTCCTGGTTGAAAATTGTTAGGTGGAAGCGCTGGTCCGGGACCCCCTTCAGGCCACTGACGAACATGCCTTCCTAAAATTTAAAGTATAACAGTGTACGTCAAATAATCGAGCATGAACTTGCCCGTGGGAACGGCTGAGAGTCTATTACATACGATGAAGAGGCAGACACACGACAGTGCGCAGAGCTTCATGGCTAGCAGTAACAGTTACACTGGGCGTAGTCCGATTGAAGCATCGTTCATATAGTTTCTTGCACAGCGAGATGTCCTTCGAAAAAGTTGTTTATTCGGAGGCGGAAAGCAGAAAGTTTTTTCCTTAGCCTGATTCTTTCGCAGTCACAAGTACAAATCTTAATCTCTACCTGATCAGTTGTTCTTTCGGTTTCGATTGAGATAGAACCGGTCGTGCAGCGTACGCCATCGCACTACTGACACACCGTACGCATCAGAGGCAGATGTACGATGTGAGCATTGTGAAGTTGTGTTTTGATGAGTGGAGATAAATATCCAGACAGAAGTTAACAGTGTTTTTCTCAAGTGGCATCAGTGCAGAAGAAGAAATGTTAATTTTCTGGAGTTAAAGCTTAAGTATTTCTTACCATCTCATTATTGCCGTCATTTGCGGAATTTTTCTTTACTGGAACATTGTAAGTGACATTGATCATTTTTACGAAGTTCCCTCGACTTTTGGTGACAATGACTGCAAAACAGATTTTTTCGTCTGTCCCACGTAGTAATGTTTATTTTCTTCAAGAGATTAAGAAAGTCGAGTCATTTATTAAGTCATCGATTAAAAGAGCGAGAGCCATTTACCTTATTGCTGTGGTTTTAACCCTTGACCTTATATCA